AGACGGACACAAAATGATTTGTGAGTTGATACACACTATAAATTTGAATATTTTAAGATGTTTATTTTTCCATAAAAAAAATCCGGCAAAGCAAATTTCAAAAGATATTTGCACAAAACAAATAAATGCTGCACATAATCTGCAGTAGTGTACTGTATAAATGACCCTTAATGTAAACATTCCTCCAGATACTGTACTTGACCCTCATACTTATTACAAGGATGAGGGACGAGAATATCAGGAAGACCCTTCAGCAACGAAGGATTACAGTAGTTAGCAATCATTAGAAATATGAAGGATTTTAAATATGGCGCCCAAGGAGAGTTAAGCCTACAGCAGTACACCAAAGACGACCATAAACACTTCAGTACACAGGGGTGAGACAAGGCAATACTGTATATCGTTAGTTGCAGTAACGTGGCTGTAGGGGAGGAACTGATTGCACAATATTGCAAGGATGAAGTACTGAAAGATAAGAGAATTATATGAGCAGGAAATTGATGCACCAGAGAGAGGGGGGGATGGAGGGATGGGGTGGGGTGGAGGGATGGAGGGGGGATGGGAGGGGGGTGCCAGACTTAGTTACCAGGGGTCGCCGAACCTATATTAGGATCTTTACTCAAAAATGCAGTGGCTGAGGCTGGCAGTGTGCGGGGAACCCATGCACCGCCCTTAAGAGACTACATGACGGTGAGGGTGAGGGTAAGGGTGAGGGTGAAGGTGAGGGTGAGGGTAAGGGTGAAGGTGAAGGTGAGGGTGAAGGTGAGGGTGAGGTGAGGGTGAAGGTGAGGTGAGTGGGGTGAGGGTGAAGGTGAGGTGAGGAGGCAGGGTGAAGGTGAAGGTGAGGGGTGAGGTGAGGTGAAGGTGAGGGTGAGGTGAGGGTGAAGAGGTAAGGGTGAGGGGTGAAGGTGGGGGTGAGGAGTGGGGTGAAGGTGAAGGTGAGGTGAAGGTGAGGGGGTGAAGGTGAGGTGAAAGGTGAGGATAGAGGTGAAGGTGAGGTAAGAGGTAAGGGTGGTGAAGAGTGGGGTGAAGGTAGGGGTGAAGGTGAAGTTAAAGGGTGAAGGTGAGGGTGGGGAGTAGGGTGAAGGTGAAGGTGAGGGGTGAAGGTGAGGGTGAGGGTGAGGGTGAAGGTGAAGTTAAGGGTGAGTAAGGGTGAAGGTAAGGGTGAAAGGTGGTGAAGGTGAGGGTAAGGGGTGAGGTGGAGGATGAGGGTGTCTGGACAACCCTCACTACAGTGAGGATGAGGGTGAAGTTGAGGTGAAGGTGAGGGTGAGGGTGAAGGTGAAGGTAAGGTTGAAGGTAAGGGTGAGGGTGAAGGAAAGGGTGAGGGTGAAGGTAAGAGGAAGGTAAGGGTGAAGGTAAGGGTGAAGGTGGGGTGAAGGTGAGGATGAGGGATGAGGGCGAAGGTGAGGGGTAAGGGGTAAGTGAAAGGAGGGGTGAGGGGTGAAGGAGGGTGAAGGTGAGGGTGAGGGCGAAGGTGAGGTGAAGGTGAAGGAGGGTGAAGGTGAGGGTGAGGATGAGGGTGAAGGGGTGGAAGGTAAGGGTGAAGGTGGGAGGGGTGAAGGTGAGGGTGAGGGATGAAGGTGGAGGATGAGGATGAGGGTGAGGGTAAGTGGAAAGTGAGGGTGAGGAGAGGGTGAGGATGAGGGTGAAGGTGAGAGGAGGATGAGGGTGAGGATGGAGGATGAGGGGTGAGGAAGGGTGAAGGTGAGGGTGAGTGTAAGGGTAAGGGTGAGGGTGAGGTGAGGGTGAGGATGAGGGTGAGGGATGGTGAAGGTGAGGGTAAGGATGAGGGGTGAAGGTGAGGGTGAGTGAAGGTGAGGGTGAGGATGAGGTTGAGGTGAAGGATGGTGAAGGTGAGGGTGAGCGAAGGTGAGGGTGAAGGTGAGGATGAGGGGGAGGATAAGTGTGAGGGAGAAGGTGGAGGGTGAAGGTGAGGATGAGGGTGAGGATAAGTGTGAGGGGTGAAGAGGGGTGAAGGTGGAGGATGAGGGTGAAGGTGAGGATGAGGGGTGAGTGTGAGGGTGAGGTGAGGGTGAAGGTGAAGGTAAGGATGAGGATGAGGGGTGAGGATGAGGGGTGAGGGGTAGGGGAGGGGTTGAAGGAGAGGATGAGGGGTGAAGGTGAGGTGAGGATGAGGGTGAGGGGGTGAAGGTGAAGGTGAAGGTGAGGGGTGAAGGAAGGTGGAGGATGAGGGGAAGGTGAGGATGAGGTGAGGGTGGAGGGGTGAGGTTGAAGGTGAGGATGAGGGTGAAAGGTGAGGGTGAAGGTGAGGGTGAAGGTGAAGGTGAGGGGGTGAAGGTGAGGATGAGGGTGGGGATGAGGGTGAAGGTGAAGGTAAAGGTGAGGATGAGGGTGAGGATGAGGGTGAAGGTGAGGGTGAGGTTGAAGGTGAGGATGGGGATGAGGGTGGAAGGTGAGGGGTGAAGATGAGGGTGAGGTGAAGGTGAGGATGAGGGTGAGGATGAGGGTGAAGGTGAGGTGAGGTTGAAGGTGAGGATGAGGATGAGGGTGAAGGTGGGGGTGAAGGTGAGGGTGAAGGTGAGGATGAGGGTGAGGATGAGGGGTGAAGGTGAGGGTGAGGTTGAAGGTGAGGATGAGGATGAGGGTGAAGGTGAGGGGTGAAGGTGAGGGTGAAGGGTGAGGATGTGAGGGTGAAGGTGAGGGGGTGAAGGTGGGGTGAGGTTAAGGAGGTGAAGGAAGAAGGTGAGGGTGAAGGTGAGGATGAGGGTGAAGGTGAGGGGTGAAGGTGAGGTGAGAAGTGAGGGGTGAAGGTGAGGGTGAAGGAGAAGGTGAGGGGTGAGGGGTGAAGGTGAGGGTGAAGGTGAGGGTGAAGGTGAGGGTGAAGGTGAGGTGAAGGAGAAGGTGAAAGTGAGGGTGAGGTGTAGAAACATGGTAGGTCTTGAACGGCTCTCACGTGCTATGGTTAAGTTAGGTTAGGTTAGGTTAGGTTTGGTTAGGTTAGGTTTGGTTAGGTTAGGTTGGTGGTAGTACAAACATCTGGACGTCAATGTGTCTGTCAGGTATACCGCCCCCGCCCCCAACCCCCCACCATCCCTTGCCCGCCCCGCCCATGACCTCCCCTGTTGGGTTTATGGCCCCTCAGTTATCTCCTTGACTCTCACCATGCTGCTCCTCTCCTCACCCCTCACCCTTCACTCACCCTTCCCAATCACCCACCAGTCACCCGTTATCCCATCATCCACCACCATCACTCACCCTTCATTTCATCCCTCACCAATCAGTCCCCCACCCTCCCCCCTCATCTCACCCCCCTTCCCCGTCCCCCATCAGCCCTCACCTCACCACCCTTCACCCCCACCCCTCCCTTATCTCACCCCCTTCACCCCGTCCCCATCAGCCCTCACCTCACCACACCCTTCACCCCCACCACCCCCTCATCTCATCCCCTTCACCCCATCCCAGCCTCACCTCACCACCCCTTACCCCGTCATCACTCACCCTTCCACCACCACCTCTTCCTATCCATCTCTCTACCTATCCCTTCCTCCTCCTCCTCAACCCACAGCTCAAGTAGGTAAGGATAATAACTCAGCTTAAACTTCTCCTGTGTGTGTGTGTCTTCCTCCTTCTTCTTTCTCCCTTCTTTTCCCCTTCCTCCTTCTCTTTCTCCCTCTATCTCCACCCTCCTCTTTTCCTCCTCCCTCCATCTTCTCTCTCCTATAATAATAATAATAATAATAATAATAATAATAAACGGTTTATTAATAGAGTTGCAGCCGGTGACTGAAAATATACAGACTTACATGTGATTTAGACACAATGATATAATATGCACTGAACACATTTACAGGGCTGTACAGTACATATATGGATGTA